TCACAGCAACCTCAAACTCCTGGGCTTGAGTGATCCTTCTGCCTCAGCCTCCTGAGTAGCTGGGACTACAGGCATGTGCCACCATGCCCGGCTAATTTTTTATATATATATATCAGTTGGCCAATTAATTTCTTTCTATTTATAGTAGAGACGGGGTCTCGCTCTTGCTCAGGCTGGTTTTGAACTCCTGACCTTGAGCAATCCGCCCGCCTCGGCCTCCCAAGAGCTAGGATTACAGGCGTGAGCCACAGCGCCCGGCCTATCTCCTATATCTTTACTTAACCTATTTTTTTTTTTTTTTTTTTGAAACAGAGTCTCACTCTGTTTCCCGGGCTAGAGTGTCGTGGCATCAGCCTAGCTCACAGCAACCTCAAACTCCTGGGCTTAAGCAATCCTTCTGCCTCAGCCTCCCGAGTAGCTGGGACTACAGGCATGCTCCACCATGCCTGGCTAATTTTTTCTATATGTTTTTAGTTGTCCAATTAATTTCTTTCTATTTTTAGTAGAGATGGGGTCTCTCTCTTGCTCAGGCTGGTTTTAATCTCCTGATATTGAGCTATCTTCCCCACCTTGCCCTCCCAGAGTGGTAGGATTATAGGTGTGAGGCACTGCGCCATAAGAACTATTCTTGGCCTTGTGTAAATTTCAAAGATTGTTCCCTCTAATCCTTTGGGTGGTTCATTCCCTAGCCTTGGGATACTTTCCTCACCCTGTTGAGCTCATCAGCACTTAAGCTAAAGATTTGAGGGGAGCCCTTTGCAGATCTCTGTCTCTGTATGGCTGTCCCCTCTCTGGGATTCTGTCCAGTGAACTCTAACTGTCTTAGCCTCTTGAATTCCTCAACTCAGGCATTTGGAGTTGGCCTGGGTTCCCGCTTCCTTTTTGAAAGTCTCTCCTGGCAATAAACTGGGATAATCACAGGGCTTACCTTGTTTGTTTTCTGTTTCTCAACGATCACTGTCCTTCATTGCCTGATGGCCAGTATCTTGGAAACCATTGTTTTATATATTATATTTTGTCCAGTCTTTCAGTTGTTTCAGGTGAAAGGGAAAATCCAGTTCCTGTTATTCCATCTTGGCTCAAAGCAAAAGTCTATATTGTTTTTTAATTTTGAAACACTTTTTGAGGGCCTCTGGAATGTAAGATTGTGCCAAGCCAAGTTTCTTGTTATCAGGCCAGGAAAAGCAGTTCTTCTTGAAGAGGCTAAAAGGGCTTCCAACCTCACTACAAGGGCATAATGAGTCATTCTAGCAGAGAGGGGGCTCTCTGCTTCTCTTTTCTGTCTCTTATCAAGTCTTTGGCTTTTATCTTTGGACTTAACTTACTGTTTCACATTCCTTTGGTGGTGAAGGTTCCAGTCTCTTCCACTTTGAACCAATACCTCCCAGTTTCTACTTGAAGTCTTAAATTTCTCTTTGTTCCTACTTATACCCTGTTTGCGTATCTAGGTCACCAAGGGCTTCTACATCTGAGGCAAATTAAAGTTTCTCAGTGGTATTTACAGCAACCAGCATCTGTTCCTGTAGAGAACCACTAACCCAAAGATACTGTGTTCTACCTTGAAGATGAATTGCAGACATACCTTGAAAAGGCAAATCCTTCATTTTAGGAGTGAATAAAACACCACTTAACAAAACATTCCAGCTGGTTAAATTTAGGACAAGAAAAAAACCTGACCCAAGAATATTCTCTGGCTTTGAGCCCAGGGTATTTTTCCTTTTAGAGTAAATTTGGTACATTTTCATTCATGTGGAGCTGTTGCCTCTTGGCATTTTATTCTGGGATGAAAGGTCAACAATGACTGCGTTGTTACTAAATCCAATGGACACTTTTCAGTTATTAACCTACTTGACATCTTAACAGTATTTGACATTGTTGATTATTATCTCCTTAATACATTCCCTGGCTTTTCGTCTTCCTTTCTGGCCTTTCTTCCTCTGCCTATTTTTTCAGTTGATATTCTCCTTGGTTCTATTCTAGGCCTTCTTCTCACATTGAACATTCTCTTTGGGCTCTCTTATCTACACCCATGGCTTCACTGTGAATTCCTAAATCTATATTTCTAGTCCAGGTATTTTTTCTGAGTGCCAATCTAGTTTGTTCAACTGTTCACTTGGCATCTTCACTTGGACAGCACATGGGTAACTCAACCTTAGCAGGCTCACAGTTTAAGTCATCAATTCTCCTCTTTGTTCAACCCTTCTTCCCATGTTCTCCATCTCTGTAAAGGGTACCTGGAAACATTTGATCTCTCAAGCCAGCATTCCTTCTTCCACTCAGTCACCAATGTCTGTGGATTCTACCTCTTTCCATCCCTACTGATAATACACTGGTTTGGTCACCATCATCTTTCACCTAGAGGACTGGAAAAGACTTCTCTTAACAGCAATTTTTGCTTCTAACTCTCATGCCACCTCTCCTCCCATCCATTTTCTTTTTACATTCTAGCCACGGTGGTCTTTCTAAGACACAAAGCCTGTTGGGATCTTGCTTAAAACCTTTCAATAACTGCCCTATGTTCTTAGAATAAAGACTAAGATCCTTATCATAAAATATGAGACCCTGCATAATTTGGCCCATTTTCCTTTTTGCATATTTCTCCTGCTTTCACACTCTAAGTTCCCTGCCATGTTTTCCATTATTCAATTTCTCAAACATACAATGCTTCTCTCTCACTTTCTGGCCTTTACATGTTTTGTTCATTCTGCCTATAACCCTTCACCTCGTTTGCTTGGCTAAATCTTCCTCCAGGTGGCTTTCTTTGAGACATCTTCTCTGACTTCCTTTATTATCTTGGTCTTCCCAGTTCCCCAGACTAAGCGAGGTGTTATTCTATGCTTCCACAGGTCGCTGTTTCCTCTCTTGTAACACTCATCCAATCTCCCATTTGACTATAAATGCCATCTTGCTCACTTCTCTGTCCCCGTTGCCTGGTGTAAGGCTCAGTGGAATAGGTACCTAGCAAACGTTTGTTGAATTGAATTTTAATGTGTCAGTAGCCACGGAGGTCTTAGTCCTACCAGTCTGTAGCCTGCCACTCTGAGCAAGGGGATTAGTGTGAAAGGTGGTTATTCTATTCTATACTGGTTCTCTTGCTGGAAGCTGGATTTTTGTTTCTCCATATTTTATTTACTGGTTTAGCAACATGATTCAGTTAATACTTCTGCACCTTAGTTGCTCCATATATAAATACAAGTAGTTCAAGTACTTGAACTTGCTCAAGGAAAATGGTGGGACCATTTTCTTTTTTTTTTTTTTTTATGATTACAACAGACATTTATTTAAAGTAATACATCTGCAGATGAAATACTTATTGTGTTATAAAACTTTTATGTTTAAGATCTAACCATCTTCATAAAAATCCTTTGAGGACAGCTGCATCCACGGATTTCAACTATACAATTACTTCTTTGCTGATCCTTCTCTCTCTTTTCTTTCATGAATAACCTCTTTCAGATATGGTTCAAGGTAGAATTTATCCTCTTCATATTCTGTCCACTGTTCTCTGGGCAAGATCTGCTGCCTCATGGTCAGGTCCAGTGTGCTTTTAATGCGAAACATCCTGTCATTACAAAAGTTCTCAGGAAACCTTCTTATGACTTCTTTTACGTCTTTATCCTCATATATCACATCATCTCGCATTAACCCCAGTTTACTGAATCCTGCAGCATTATAATACCATTTTCGAATACCATCCAGCCTGATATTGCAACAGCTGGCCTGCCCTTCATTTTGACCCAAGAGTGAAGTGGTGCCTTCTCGATTTTTTTTCTCTTTCATTTCTTTGGTTACTAGTATTTTGTGCATTAGTCAATTATATTTCCTCTCTTGTATAATGATAATTCATGCTTTTTGGTACATTTCTCTTTTTTCTATTGCATTATAAAACTTCTTTGTACATATTTTCCATACATTTTATAAATATTTTAAACTCATTTTTTTTTTTTTTTTTTTTGAGACAGAGTCTCACTTTGTTGCCCAGGCTAGAGTGAGTGCCGTGGCGTCAGCCTGGCTCACAGCAACCTCAATTTCCTGGGCTCAAGCAATCCTTCTGCCTCAGCCTCCTGAGTAGCTGGGACTACAGGCATGCGCCACCATGCCCGGCTAATTTTTTCTATATATGTTAGTTGGCCAATTAATTTCTTTCTATTTATAGTAGAGACGGGGGTCTTGCTCTTGCTCAGGCTGGTTTGGAACTCCTGACCTCGAGCAATCCTCCCGCCTCGGCCTCCCAGAGTGCTAGGATTACAGGCTTGAGCCACCATGTGCTCGGCCATTCTTCTAACTTTTTAAATTGAATCTTTAGTTTTTTAAAATCTTTCTTGTTTTTTAAATAAAATAATGTTTTCCTGGAACTTTCTATTCTATTTCATTGATCTATTTGTCTTTTCTTTTTGATATTATATTATTATAACACTGTCAACATCTAATAGTCCAACTCCCCTTCATTATTATTTTATTTTATTTTTTTTTTCATTATTATTTTAAAAAATTTTCCACAACTGAATGATGACTTTTAGAATCGGAAAGAAAAAAAGAAAATAAAAGATGTAATATATTTTAAAATTTAATTAAAAAAAGAAAAAATAAATAAAAATAAAAAATTTTCTTGGTTATTGGGCCAGATATATCTTAAAGTCATTAAAATTCTTTGAGAGTTAATATGAAAATGCACCCAAATAAATGCTTCTGGTACCTTCCTTCCAAACCCAAGTACTCCTTATTCTTCCAGATACAAAGTTAGTCTTTCAAAAAATGCCTATAATTAATCTGTGTATGTCAATATAGTGCATGTATGTGGTGAATTTAAATGTGTTTTGTGTGCATATCTGTGTGGTTCATGTATATGTGCTTGTGTATGTTCATAGAATGCAAGTATAGTGTGTGGGGTGTATTTGTATATATATATATATGTGAGGTATGTAATTGTGTTTGTGTGTGTATGATGTGATTGCCTATGTACATGGGATGTGTTAAGGTATGTGTATGTATGTGTGCAGAGTGCATGTTTGTATTGTGTGTGTGCTATGTTTATGTATGTGTGGAGTGTGTGTGGGTATGTGTGAGGTGGAAGACAGATACTGAGCCCCTAGGAGGTGCTAGAGTGCTCAGGGCAAATCAGAGAGCCAGGCTTGGTCCTAAAACTGCCCTGCCTTCTTGGGGAAAGCAGGGCCATGACTGTGACCCTTTGTGAATGTCACCTGTAGACAGCAGTGTTAACCAGTGAGACTGGTTAAATAGGGCCAGTCTCTCTTGCAGTGTCACTGCCAAGGCTCCCACTCACCTCTCTCCTTCATCTTCTGAAAAAAAGGTGACCTGCCCCTTTAAGAAAAGGAAGCTTCCAGTGCTCTACTAAGGAGCCTTACTGGTGGTGGTGGAGGTGGTGCCACCAGAGGGGTCAGATCAGGATCAGGCTGGTTTTGGGGTCTTCCAACTGAATAGGTTAGCTGCTGAATTGGGGAGGAGTCAGGAGGGGACCTGCAAGGCAGTAGGATCTTTGTCCCCAGTAGACCATAAGGTGCCCAGTGTGGGCCTTGGTCTTCCTCCCACCCCCCAGGTCACTTCCAGACAGTGCAACTCTGCTCGGTTCTCCTGTTGGGTCTCACGCTCCTGAGTGTTGTACGTGCAGGTTGCTCACAGCCTCCTGAATCTAAGGTGGGTTTCCCTTTGGGAGAGGGCTCTACATAGGTCCCTTGGGCATATCACCCTCCCTTTCCCTGTGTATCATCCTTTGCCCTGGCTCCTGAATGTCATGTTTTCTAGTTCATACTTGGAGTAAAAACCCCTTACAGGGGGCATCTTCAGGCCATGCCTAACTCATGCTCCCATCTTGCTCCTGCAGGTCTGCAGCACCTCTAGGCTCCATGTCCTGTTTGCATCCTGTGGCTTGAGCCTGAGGTTGCCCATATTGCCTGGCTGGATGGAGTGGGTGAGCCAGGATACCTCCCTGTCCAGAAAGGATGCCTGGACTCAGACTTCCCCAGCCAGGAAGAGGATCAGGCGTGCCCAAGTCCAGGGTGCAGGTAAGTCCATCTTCCACTGGGTTGGGGCCAGGAGAGTGGGCCTGCCCCAGCTAAAGACAATATCTGTGGTGTGGGGGTAGGGGGAAGAGCAGGGCAGGATTTCACGAAGTGCCAGGATTCAAACAATCCACCGGCCTTTATGTGACTCATTCCTATTTGACCCTACTTTGCTGATTTCAGGGCTCTAGTTTCTGCTCCCCACTGGTGGCCAACTGGCCTTGTGGCATCTAGTTTCCTTACCTGCCTTCAGAAGGCAGGCCTGCTACCTCTACCTGCTGTTGGGCCATGGAGCAAGTGTGGAGGCCAAGGAAGAACAGAAGGACAATGGCCTCTGGGGCAGACAGACCTGGGTTTAAATTTCAGCTTTGCCTGTTCCTTGCTCTGCAAATCTTGGCCAAGTCACCTACCTTCTCTGCCTGAGGTGCAGATTTCTCCCTGGTAAATTGGGGCTTACTTTCTAGGCTTACAGTGAAGATAAAGTGAGATGATGTGTGTAAATTGCCCAGCTCAGCCCTTGGCACCTGGTGCTCCATATGTATAACTTTTTTCTCCACTTTCTCTCTTGCATCTCTGGATCTTGTCTTGAGTGGGTCACTGAACCACAAATATCCACTTGGCAATGATATCAGAGGAACAGGGACAAATACCAACACTTCTCATTTTTAGATTTACATGAGACAAACAGCTTTCCCTCCCACAGTGGCAACAGTTGGAGATTTGCAGAGCAGATGTCTGGGTGTGAAGGCACTTCCTGGGGGTGTCCCGTGAATGTTTGCTGACAAAACAGTGCAGGGGCTTCCAGCTCTGCCTCCCTGCACCAGGCTTGGGAGATTCAAAGTGCCCACCCGTTCTGTGTCCTGCATGTCATCTTCCTCAGATGCTGGGAGGCTGTCCTGCTGTCTGATGGCACCAGGCTAGGGTAGGGTGGGCTGGGGGTGGCATGAGGCTGGTTGGAGCAAGCTGCTCCCATCTGGACCTGTGTCAGGCAGCACTCATCCAAGAGGAGGGTTGAGAAGGCAATACAGGTAGCCGGGTTTGGGAAGGGGCTGCAGCCTGGTGGGGGCGACCTGTCCGAGTGCAGAGAACACTTTTGCAAACCCCACTGCACTGGGCCAGGAGGGTGCTCCTTGGCCCTTGCTTGGCTCTGATGATTACAGGTCTGAGCTTCAAAGCAGGTTACACAGTCAGCTAATTGCTGGTCTGGGAGAGCTGGCCGGGAGGCCAAGCCCGCCCTGAGTGGGCACGCTTGGCCCGGGGCTCCTGTGAGTTGGCCCTTCCAGCCTAAAGCGCGGTAGTGGAGCCGGGAGCGTCAGCGTAGCCCGGTCCTGCAGGCTCCCAGGAAGGAGCCACCTCCAACCACTGGTGGCTGCCCTGGCGGCTCAGCTCGGGGCGCGGGGCGCGGCGCCTCCTCCCCTCCCCGGGCCGCGTCTGCTCCGTCAGGTGGAAATCTCCCCATTCAAACCCGCGCGGGCCAATCAGCGCCCGGCGCGCCCGGCCGGTTCCAACGCGCTGCGGCCGCCGGCCTCCCGCTCCTCCCGCCTCCCTCCGGGACACTGGCGGGGAGGCTGCGAACCTGCTGCCTCGGTTACTGGGGAGCAACACAGCCGCCTCGGGTTACAGGGTTACAGGCGCTCCGCCCGTGCCGCAGTGGGACACCATGGAGCACTCCCTGCACCGTGTCTCCCTCGGGAGCCGGCGTGCCCACCGGGACTTGTCCTTCTACCTCACCACCTTTGGTAAGTGCCCTCTGGGGCTGGCTGCCAGGGGCTGCTTCACCCTGCTCTCACCGCCCAGCAGGCAGCCCCCCATGGTGACAGGCAAGGCTTGGGAGTAGGCGCTCCTTCTGTTTGGGGGCACCTTCTCTGGCCCCTTCCCCCTGCAGTTGCCCAGGATGGGCTCAGGGCACAGGCTCAGGCCAAGCAAGCCGCTGGATACCACCTGCTGCCCGCCACTAGTGCCAACTGCAGTTGGTTCTGCCTCACTTGGCTGGAATAATCACACTTGAGTTAATCTTTCAGAAACCTGGTTTGTCACCATCAAGTTGCCATTAACAAGCAGCTCAGGTTAAATCAAGGTCTTACTGCTACATCTGGAGATCTCATTCACCCACTTTCCTTCTGCTCAGGGACGGGACAGGTGCTGGGCTAGCCCAGTGGCCTTGCCTCCTGTGGCCTCACCTTGGAGGCTGTAATCTGACTTCATTGGGTATCTGACCCACAGTGAAGATGGGAGAATTCTCTCCTCCAAGACAGACCAATCCCTTAGGAGGGTCCCAGGGATGTCCTCAGGGATTGAGGTGGAAAGAAATGGGCAGTGGGCCTTATTCCCAAGCGAGTGGGTTCCCCAATTAACAGCTGGGCAGCAGCTGCCCAAAGGCCTGGGCGAACCTGGCCTTCTAGGTAGCCATAGTGACGATAACAGTCGTTCCCTAGAGTACAGCCCTCCATTCCCTCTCTGGTCCTGCAACTCCCTGTGGAAACTGGGTTATTTTTCCTCTGTGAAGGCTTGAGCCCCAGAGGGAGGAAGATTTCCCATGAGCCAGTGGTAAAGTTGGTACCTGAGTTCAAGCTGTCTGGAGATGATCTGTCCAACGCATTTTTTTTTTTTTTTTTTGAGACAGGTCTCACTTTGTTGCCCAGGCTAGAGTGAGTGCCGTGGCGTCAGCCTGGCTCACAGCAACCTCAATCTCCTGGGCTCAGCGATCCTACTGCCTCAGCCTCCCGAGTAGCTGGGACTACAGGCATGCGCCACCATGCCTGGCTAATTTTTTGTATATATATTTTTAGTTGGTCAATTAATTTCTCTCTATTTTTGGTAGAGACGGGGTCTCGCTCAGGCTGGTTTCGAACTCCTGACTTTGAGCGATCCGCCGGCCTCGGCCTCCCAAAGTGCCAACGCATTTTTGTTTGAACATTTTTGCATATGATTTCCTTGTAAAAGTTAGGGCCATTACTGCAACTTAACTGGACTTTGCCCAGCTTTCAAAGACAGAACACCCAAAGAGTTAGTCCCTCCCTGGGGTTCCTGGCTCCTTTGCTCCCAGGCTTACTCCTGTCTAACACAACGTGGCTCTTCACAACCTGCTTTATTCTCTGGGGGCACAGGGAGTGATGGAGGAGCAGCAGCTTGGCCCCTGTAAATGGCCTGCTGTCTGGCATCCTGGAATTCACTGGTTCTGTTGGTGGAAGATAATTAAGAGTAATTAACAAGCTACCATTTGTTGAGCATTTACCATGTGCCATGCCTTGTGCCAAGTGCTTTATTTGTATTATTTCATTTGGTAAACCTGACCCTAGGAGGCAGTTCCTGTTAAGCCCATTGGGATGCAGGAGCCTCTGAGATACCAGAGAGTTCCAGGATGACTGGGGTTGGTGAGGTGGGGGCTGGTCAGGAAAGAATATTAGGGAGCTGCAAGGCCCTCTTACCTTAGATGTAAGGTAAAAGTAAAAATATGTTTTTTTTTCTCACCTCTATGTTATCATGATAAGTTGTGTTTCTTGTTGAAAACTTAGTGAAAAGACAGTGAACAATCACTTGTAATCTGACTCCTCAGAGAGACTACTGTTCATATTTTGATTTATATCCTTGCAAACTTTTTTTCTGTGTGTGTGTGAGGGAGGGGTCAAATTTTAACAAAATTGAGATCAAACCATATGTGTACTTTTGAAACCCAGTTCTTTTCTTTGCATCAGTGAATGTTCTTCTGTAGCCTTAATCTCCCTGCCAGATCTGGGAAGTTAGGGAGGGGAGGGTCCAGGTCCAGCAGGAAGTGGATCTTCTTGCTGGGCCATGGCCTCAGGGCTGGTCCGATGGGTATCAGGGAAGGTTGCTGCTTGAACAAGTGGCTGAGACCTGAGTGTGCAGGAGGCAGGCAGGAGCCTAGGTGGGGTGGGGAGCTACACGCTCTTATTCATGTAGTCTCCTCTCAGTCTCTCCGAGGACACTAATTAGCATGTTTGAAAGGTTCTTGCCTGTTTCCTGCATTAGTTCTGTTTCTTTGGGTGCCATTTGTCATGTTGCCCCTCTTTCAAGGTGCTGATTTTCTTCATACACTGAGTGACTTTTGCTCGCCTGCTTACGAACAAAGATTCCTATCAGTGTTTTCCAAACCAGGCCAACTATCAGAAGCATCTGGGGAGCCTGTTAAAATGCACATATTCCTAGGATCTTCTTCCAGAGATTCTGGTTTAATAGGTCTAGGGTAGAGCGTGAGAATGCATAAATTTAAGAAGCCACAGAAGTACTCTTACCATCAGCCAGGTTTGGACTCAGTCAGTTTTGGTAGCCAGTGGGACTCCCTTTACTGTGAAAGTCTTTGCTGAGTTTTCCTCAGTTCACTGGCCTTCCCCTGGCATGGCAGGAAGCCCTTGGCCTTCACCAGTGGGCTTTGTCTTGGTAGAACCAGACGAAGATGCTGCCTTGCTGGTAGTTTCCTGAACATAAACATTTAAAGGCAGCGTAAGCACCTATGGAAACATAATGAGACGAAATTGTTGTCATCAGGAGTCCCTTCAAGGCGAGTACTGTATGGTATATATATTGTTTGTGTGTGTCCATGAGTATAACCCCTCGTCCCTCCAAAAGGGGCATGTTCAAGTAACATTAATTGACCATACACTGCCTTCTGAGAAGATGGCCTGACTTCAGCGGAGGGCAGTATGCAAGCTGAGGCTGGGACCCAGCTATTCTAGAGGGATTTTTTTCCCTATTGTAATAACTGCTGCAATTTGAAGAAGTCATGATAGGTGTACATCATATTTTTTCCAGGACTATATGTTTAATTTTGATTAGCATATTTGTTAACATTTTTTGGTAACAACTTTTTTGAGATATAATTCAGATATACACAATTCACTCTTTTTTTTGAGACAGAGTCTCACTTTGTTGCCCAGGCTAGAGTGAGTGCCATGGCGTCAGCCTAGCTCACAGCAACCTCAAACTCCTGGCTCAAGCAATCCTGCTGCCTCGCTCCCGAGTAGCTGGGACTATGGCATGTACAC